GAAATTGGACAGGTTGCTGGATCAGTGGTTTTTAGCTGGTGCAATGGTTTGGATTGGTAAAACTGCCAGTTAAAATGGGCTAACTTGAAGGCACTTGGTTTTCCAGATTGACATCCATTTTGGTTTTCAAAACACCGGCCAAGTAAAAACATCAAAGTTGTACCCTCTGATCTGGATTCTAGAACATACCTAACCTGACTTTCTTGAATTTTACTTTTCTCGTTCAACAATATTCTTGCTTGTTTGAAATTTAAATATGAACTGACAACAGGGATATGCACCACCTAATTCAGATAGAAGGGATGGTGTTCTTGCAAGAAAGCGGCTTGAGTACCTAGAATGTGTTTCCCAGTATTGTGATATTCCTGATACGGAACGTTCAGATGAAGAAATAAACATGCTTAGGCAGGTAACTCATGGTGCTTGACTGAATGCCATTCTGAACTCTCTCAATTATTTCTGTGATTCTTGAAGATCATATTAAATTATTAACCAAGTATTTTTTGTTTTCTCTTCTGTTGCGTGTTTATGCTGCATCAGATTGCTGTTGATTGTCCGAGGACTGTACCTGATGTCACTTTCTTTCAACAAGCAGAGGTTCAGAAATCTCTAGAACGTGTCCTCTATACATGGTTGGATTTCTTGCTTAATCTTTTCTATTTTTTCATTCTTTTTATACATGGTTGAGCCATATTCACTTTGTGATTCACAATCGAAGCACAAATAAGGATACATTGAATCGGTTGATAAACACTCCATGTATTGGTTCATTTTAGTGAATGAACGAGTGAAACTTCAATTGTTCTTAAAACTTTATGATTTGGTGCTGACTCCAAACTTGAAGGTGCTAACTCCAATAGACTCTAATTTATCCTTTCAACAGGTATTCTTTGATGTTTTCTTAGTATTGGATGAATTTGTCATTTGTCTTAAATTTTATTCTGTTTTTGATAGCTCAAAATTTATTCTTTTCTTCCTCGTTTTGGCCAAACCTTTCTTTCTATTGCAAACTTATCCTTCCAATTAATTTTTCTTCTCTATTCTCTAATTATTTTCATCATTCATTTTTTTCTTCTGTTTTTAGTTATTCTGTGGATATAGAATATTAGAGACTACATGATGTTAGAGAAGGACTAGGTGGGGGCTATACAAATTTCAAATCTAGTGGTGGGCTGCCTATCGGAATTGTTGAGTTTTTTGCCATTGTACATGCCTTGAAGCTTTGGAGGCATTACCTTATTCAATAGGAGTTTGTGTTGTATTTGGATCATGAAGCATTGAAACACCTTAACTCCCAGTAGAAGATAAGGGAAGACATGCTAAATGGGTTGATTTTATACAAGACTATAATTTTGTTTTGAAGCATAAGGTTGGACAGCAAAACTAGGTAGCCGATGCACTTAGTAGAAAAGTTTACTCGGTGACCACAATGTCTACAAATGTTGTTGGGATTTGGCTCCATCAAAGAGCATTACAAAGATGACCCTTAGTTTGGCCCTATGTGTCGAAGCTATCTAGTAGGTGACAAGGATATTCGAGCCAAGTTTGTGTGAAATGATAGTTACTTGTTCACGGGCAATAGGTTATGTATTTTGTCAGGGTCTTTGAGGGTCTTACTCACGGGCAATAGGTTATGTATTCTCCCTAAGAGGTTTCCTATTGGGACTTACCACAAGTTAAAGCAAAAAAAGATTAGCCCATGTGGCCAAGTGTTGAGACAGTTTGTGGACAATGCATATGAAATTGAACTATTTGCTAGTTTGTCCATTTCACCCAATTTTAATGTAGCAAACCTCTTTGATTATCATGGAGGCCTAGAACCAACAACAAAGGTTGACCAAGGATAGGCACCAAGGGCCAATAATTTTAATGAATTATTGAATTTGAAGTTTTGAACAAGTAGGTGTAGAAGATGTTCGAATCACCAACACTCAAAATGGGGCCTATATTAGGTTCTTGGTCAAGTGGAAAGGGAAACCAACAATTGAGAACTTTTGGTTTAGTGTAGAAGAGTTTATGAAGTTGGATGGAGACATGTGCAAGGCCGTCTAAAATTGTTGCTTGCACGGTTGCACAGGGTTGAGCTCTTTTTAACTTGGTGGGAATGATGAACCCAAAAAAAAGAGGGAAGAATAAAAAACAAAGAAGGAAAAGAGCAAAATGTGAATATATTTGGAATTTGTATGTATTTTGTAGTAGGATTCTAAATTATTGTTTTTGGGTAGCTTTCTTGACAGTTTGGGTCCAGGGGTATTTTCGTGATTTTCATAAATTGGATTCTAGTCAGGGGCAGTTGGGTGCACATCTGTTGGGTTTTAGTCTCTTGGGTCTTTTTGTAACAAAAGTTATTTTTTGGGGGTTTATTTGGAGTTAGTTTTGTTCATGTTGTGAAGGGGAACACTCTAGGGGCTTATGTGTAAATATTTTAGTTGGCTTCTCTTGCAAGCCATTGAGTCTTAGAAAAGAGAAGAGGATCTTTTTTGGTTATCTTTCTTGTTTGAGCTGTAACTCATCCCTAGCTAGGGTTTTCAAGTATTGGGAGCTTGGATTTTGAGGAGTCGACCCATTTTGGCACCTTCTAGTCCCTCTATCGTTGTGTGTCTGCACGAGAGGCTAGCTTGATGCCATTGTTACTATAGCGGAACTGTTCTAGGAGGAGTTCTACTTTAGGTTCAAGTATGCATTCCTAAGAATCCAACTTCTTTTGTTGTTTTCAGCTTGATATTTTTGTGCTTATTGCTGTATACTTGAAGTGTTGCATATAACTTCTTTTTTTGTCCACACTAGGGATGAATAGTCAAGAGTTGAAAGTGAAGGGGACAACAGGTTAGGGGTTGGTTGGCAGTTTAGAGGTTGAAAATAAGGGTAGTTTAGGAATTGAAAATTTTAATGATGTTGAGATGGGTGGTCGGTCCAAGGAACATGGGGGGAATAAGGTTAGTTCGAGGGAGTTGAAAGGTTGCGAGAAGGTAGGCCAAGTGAAGATATTAAGTGGGGTTGGGTCAACTCAACTTATAATATAGAGTTTAGGTTGAGTCCAGTTAAAAAGAGCAGGATATCGAATTTTTCTCAAAAAGTAGTAGGATTTGGGTGTAGAGAGGGATTTTCTTGAAGAATTGAGATGTATTTGAAGGTGGAAGTAGATTGTTGATGGTTGCTTACATAAACTCCAAGCATGATTCAGAGGAGGTAGAATGGTTGTAGGTAATGATCAAATACAAGGGGAAGGAGGAAGTGGAATGTGGTGATACTAAGAAGAACAAGTTTAGTAAGTTCTAAATCACGTACAAGTTGAAGGAAGGAAAATGCTCAGGACAAGGATGTTTCTAGGGTAGATGTGAGCAGTGGGATGAAAGAGAACAAAGAACACTATGTAGAAGCCATTGCGGAGCTTCATAAGTTGGATGTTTTCGTGGTTTAGGGTTTGAATGCCACAATTGATAAGCCTATGGAGGGGCTTGAGAAAGGTTCGTTAGGGATCAATGTTCAAGTTGTTGGGGAGAATTTGGAGAGAAAATATGAGGCTGATGTCAAACAAGGAGAAGTCTTGGCTGAGATTGGTGGCATGAAGGATAGGAGTAGGGTTGACATTTCTGGGTCAATCAATGGTAAGATTTTCAAACTTTCAAGTGGAGGTAAGTCATTTTGAAACTGAAAGTAGAAGGGGGAACTTGTTAAGAGCATATTGCTTCAATGATGAAGAATAGGGAAATTGGTGAGAGATTTGAGATCAAAGAGGAGTCTGCAATTATTTATTGGGGGGGGGGGTGAATAAGGATGGAGTTGAAGATAAAGAAGGGGGAGATTGTAATCAAGTCCTCGAGTGTGGGGGAGGGTGGGTGAGTTTGGATGATGGTGAGGAGTTGGGGGTGGGGTTAGGGTTGAAGAAGTTGATCTAAAGGTGACACTGATTAGGGTTTTGACCGAGGAGACAGGGGGAGGTGCAAGTTTTGAGAAGGAAGAAGTGTGGGAGAAGGGTGCCAAGGATGAGAGGTAGGATAATGTGGTTGCTCAAATGTATAGAAGGAAGAGAAGGTACAGAACAAAACCTTTAAGAAGATTTTGAAGACTGTGAACACAACATTTCGGTCAATGGGTCAAGATTGATCAAGTCAAAGAGGTTAAACTAGATAAAATTCACACAATTCAGAGATTCATCAATTTGGAAACAATGGTAAGGGGGAAGTATGATAATGATGTGGATAGAAAAACAAGATCTATGCAACACTTCAAGTGTATATCAATAAGCACAACAATACCAAGCTGAAACACAAAAATAAGTTGGATTCTTAGGGATTTCAGATCTGAATCTAAAGTAGAACTACTCTTGGAATAGTTTGCTACAGTAATAATGGCATTAAGCTGGCTTCTCATGTGGACATGCATCAATGGAGGGATTGGAAGGCGCCAATTGGGTCGACTCCTAAAAACCCAAGCTCCTAATACTTGAAAACCCTATCTAGGGCTGAGTTACAGTTCAAATAAGACAGAAAGAACGGAAAAGATCCCCACAAGACTCAATGGCTTGTTGGAAAAGCCAACAAATATATTTACACAAACCCCTAGAATGATCTTCTTTCACAAACAACTCCTTAAGAACAAAACTAACTTAAAACAATATCTCAGAAGATAACTTTTTTTTTTTCTTTCAAAAACTCCCAAGAGATCATAGCCCAACAAATGTGCACCCAACTATCCCTGACTAGAATCTGAATTATTAAAATGATGAAAATATTCCTGGAACCAAATTGACAACCAAGCTTCCCAAGACAACTATTTGGGGTTCCAACTACAAAAGCAAACTCAAAAACATATTTACATTATTTTTTTTTTCTGTTTATTCTTTTTTCCTTTTCTTTATTTTGGGGGCTCATTAGACAAACATTGGCGGCAAAGAGTGCACGAAGGACTTGGGGAGAAAGATAATTTGGTTCTTGAAATGTTTGGCTTTAATGTTGGTGTTGAGAAGGCTCAAAATAGGCTGAGATTGGTAGGAGCTGTAAGGAATGCTGATAGATAGGGTGGTGAGGGGGTTTCAAGACGTTTGAGAAAAATGTGATCTTGGAGTTGGAAAGGATAAATGCTGGTTTTGAAGACTTAAAGGAGCTTAAAAAGTTTCCAAATGTAGTTAGATGGCTTAGAAGGCATAAAAATCATTCAGCTATTTCAGGTTTCTAGTGTTTTTGCCAGATTGAGAGGAGGTTTATTTGGGATTGGGCCTAACAAAAAGGTGAAGAAAGCCATAAAAAGTCCATAAGAAATGTAACTGAATTCCTGCAATTGTCTTTGAAGAAGCTCCAAGAACCCTGTATTTGCTAATATTGTTCATTCATTCATCCTAATAGAAGATATTTTTAAAAGGTAATTAAAATTATAAAATCATTTTTTTTTCTGTAGGTCTTAAGAATTTAAGACTTTAACATGGACTTATTTGGGTTTGCCTCAATGGGTTTTGGTACAAAGGCAGCTCGTAAAACCAGGAATGCAAAATGTTTAACACCACATTAGTTATTTGAAGTAATGCAATTGGGTAAAAAAATGAAGAGATTGAGAGTTTTACATGCATGAATATGTTTTATATGTTATGTTTGATTTTATTTTTAAAAGATTCATTTTGAATATGTTTTACATGTTATGTTCATATTTTAATTTGAAACAATAGGTTTTTTAAAACATTTGTTTTAAATTTTAACTTTATATTTTTAATTAATTTTGTTTTTAATATTTTTAGTATTTTTTTTTTTGCATTTCTGCACCTTTCTTTGAAAAGGCGTGCACCTCACCTTGTGCCTCGGGCACAAAATACTTCTTGCACTTTTAAAACACTGATTCCAGGATAACTTGGACAATTAATCTTATTAGACTGGTTTATGTTGTATCCGTTACATTTTGTTTGTATTTATGGAGTTATTGGTAAGTGTGTCCAAAGGACCATAGGAATACGAGTAAACCTAATCTATTTTGGGCGTGGTGAAAAATTACAACATTTGCATGTGTGTGTGCACACGAGTTTACACGTTTTTGCTCTTGCTATATTGCTCCTACTTTTGGGAGAATCTAATATTAGAGGTTGTTTTCTTTATTATTATCAGTTTCTGATATGTTTCAGGGCCATTCGACATCCAGCAAGTGGATATGTTCAGGGGATAAATGATCTTGTAACACCATTTTTAGTTGTTTTCTTGTCTGAACATCTGGAAGGGAGCATGGAGAATTGGTCAATCTTGGATCTAACCCCACAGAAAATTTCTAACATAGAAGCTGACTGCTACTGGTGTCTATCAAAATTACTTGATGGTATGCAAGACCACTATACATTTGCTCAACCGGGAATTCAACGCCTTGTTTTTAAGTTGAAGGAACTGGTAAGGAGGATAGATGGTAAGTCCCTATTTCTTTTTTTCTTGATTTATTTATTTATTTTTCAACTTTAATGCACTGTTTTGTTCTGTGTAGTAAATAGTAATATAAATAAAAAACCCCAAACATGTAAAGGCCATGATGGGATGTCTGTGAAACATTAATTTGAGTCCCACCTGCCTCCAGCAAATAAAAGATCAACAATTTGAATGATTTTAAGTGCTTAACCATCTGACTTGTGGTCAATTGATCATACAAAATAATATGATATGCTGGTTTACTATTATTCTCTTAGCCATGTTTGAAATTTCAAGTTGGATATCTGCTAAGTGGGTTTATTGGACACTGAAGCTATGTAGTTTGTAGATTGGCTTTTCTGTTTATGAGAGAGGCTTAGAATATTTCTTCTGCTGTTAATGTGGTAAGCGTGATATGGCATGAACAGCTTGTTCAGGTGGACGGTCCAAATGTCTACAAACGTGGTCCTAGAGTAAGAGATATGGTGGATAGGGAAGGACTTTATTGGGGGCTATGATGGTAGACAGGTCGTGGGTCCAATTTTTAAAGCTAGTGGCGAGCTTTCTATAGAGAAGGAAAGTAACTTGGCTGATTAATCATGAAGAATATAGATGGCAACTGTCCACCAAGGAATGGGCAGGAGATTAGGTGCCCATTTGTTAGGGCTTTCATGCTGTGGCTTTTGGCTGTGCAAGGTAGGGCCCACCCAGAAAGCCTATAAGCATCACCTTCATCATCCTTGTCCCAACTAATGTGTGGAATAAATGAGAAGAATGGGTGGAGGGGGGCTGATATGCAAGTTGGAATTTTCTGAGAACAGATAACTGATTTCATTAAAAGAAAGGGAGGGATGTACATGAGGAGATACACAAGGCCTTGTCAACAACAAAAAAAAAAGCAAAAACATTGCCCACTAAATATTTTGGCTCAGTTTGGAAGGAGTACAAATGCAAATATGTAAAGTGCAGAACCTTATATTTTGTATTATTTGTATGTATTTGTATTGTACATATTTGCATTTGTACTCTTTCTAAACTGAGCATTAGGCTTAGTTTGGAAGGAGTACAAATACATACAAAATACAAGGTTTTGCACTCTTTCCAAACTAGGCCTTGGCAATGTATTTGCACCATACAAACTGTCCCTTCCCAACCCAGATTTTGCTAGTTATCTGCCAAATGGTTTAATTATCTGCGAATCCATCTGAAACTATGCTGCAAGCAAGAGGAAATCTCATGGATTTCTAACAAAAGGTGAGAGAGCATCCAAGGATTAGGGGTATGTCCAGACACCCAACTTATGACATTCCTAGTGTCCCTAATTTATGACAAAAGGTGAGGTTTGTAAGTTGCAGTTAGAGAAAGCTTATGATAAGCTAGATTGGTCTTTTGTGGAAGGGGTGTGAGTTTGGAGGTTTATGAAGTGAATAATAGGATAATCTATAATCTATCAACTTGTCATTTCTCAACTTCCATTCATGTAGCATGTTAATAAGAGCTGGTATAGTGAAAGGGTGGAAGGTTGGGATGCACAGAAAACTAGTCGCACACTTGCAATTTGCAGAGTATACCATACTATTTTGTGAAGAAGGGGGAGGAAGTAATTTGGAATCTTAGATTCCTAATTGTGTTGTTTGAGAGAACACCAAAGAGATGCCAGTTAGATGAAGATATGGATATAATAGAGAGGAAGACCTGGATACTGCAAGAACTCACTAAATCAATCATTTATTCATCAAATGAAGTTGTATAACTTTAAATCACGATGAATCAAATTATAAAATATAGACTCAAACACAAAGGCCCAGATATCCATTTGCAGACACTAATTTCAATTTGGAGACCAGAAATGACTCCTAATTGCTTTAGAACTAAGACAAACCCATATATGACTCATGTGGATATTGCCATATAAACTTTAACTCCTAAATCAAGTCTAAATGTCTATTTGTAATCCTACCAAAACTAAACAAATCAAAAGACACTTCAAGATACACCAAGAAAATACAAACCTTTCAATTCTGCTATAGATTTACACCTTATTACTAAAATGGTTATAGGTCACTCAAGACGTGTTGGATTTACAAAGTTTGCTCTCATTGGTAGGTAAGCTAATAACCTGTTGAATTTACAACATCTTGGTCTCATTAGTATGTAACCCAATAACCCATCAATGACATTAAATCATGCTAAATGGACAAGTTTTGACCCCTGACAAATATGCTGAAGGAGAATTGACGTGATTGCATATTAATGTTTTCAAATTCCAAGAACCTTTTAACAATGATCTTTAAACCACCTATCCTTTAAGATAGTTAACCCTATTCCTATGACACTTATAAATTAGAAATTAACTTCTAAAAAACTTGTATGGGCTAAAAGTTCAACCACCCAGAAATAATGAAATTGTCATACTACAAAAATCTTTAAAGACTCGATCTCATCTCTTATTCCACGGTTTCTTTCCTTTTTTCCATGTGTGCATCATATGAACAATGAATGGTTGATTCAAGACTTAAGCATGTGGGCTGTGGGCCAATATAGTTATTTTATGCGTGGTTTAAAATGTCTAAAAATGTTTTTTGGAAAGGTAAAATGAAAAATTTTATTAAAATAGAAAAAAAGAGAAGACCGATTACAATCACCATCCAGGTGTTAAGATAGGACCCACACAAACAAACAGCGAAAACATAATTCAACAGAAAGCCACCCCAAACAACGCATCTTAAACATCTTCAAACATTTCGTCTTGTCCATCATAGTTTTCAAGGTGTCTAGGCGATTCTGGGCGACACTGGGGTGCCTAGTCACCCGCCTAGGCGATAAAATTTTATAATATAAAAATCTGACTTTTGGCTAGTTTCCTAGTTTTATGTACCATTCAGCATGTATGTTAATTGAAAAAACAGCAATTCTCTTTATTAAGAACATTAAATTTCCTCTAAAAATGTGGCAAATCATCACATCTAAAAGATAAACATCTTTTACATATATTAATTTCATTATTTTCAAAAATAATACTACTATAATAAGTATTTAATAGAGAAAWTTYMTATTAATTARCAGCTAAAGAYGGTTATCAACTTTATATGATAAATATTCAAGATGGAAAGTAAAATAGAAAAAAAAACAAGGATGGAGTTTCTGTTTTATTTAATTAGAGAGAGAGAACATAAAAAATAACTTTAATATTCTATTCTTTCTTTCCTCTTTCTTTTCCTTCTTTTCTTTCTTTCTTTCTTTCTTTCTTTCTTTTTCTCTTCTCAAAACCCTTTGATCTTATAAATTTCAATAGTAAAACATTAAAACAAAGTATAATTGATATATATATATATATATAGCATATAATAAAATGTATTAACACATACATTAATAAGATACAACAATATAAATGATATTATAAAAGGTGTCCGCCTTGTCATTTTTGTCGCCTAGGCGGGGGCCTGATTGCTAAAAGTCAAGGCGTTTGGGCGAGGCGCCCAGCCAAGGGCGCCTAGGTGACGCCTTGACAACTATGTTGTCCATCTCCTTCCTCATTCCACGCCTCTTCTCCTTCCCCAACAACAATCTTTTTCAAGTTCTCTTCCCTGTTGCTTTTTTTTTTTTTTCAAATGCTTCAAAAGCCCTTCTAGCAAACTCCTCTCCACCCTAAAAAATGGACCTAAGCTCTTGCCCACCTTTACATCCCTATGAACCAAAAACATTCAATCTCCACTTCCCCCCTTTTCACTTGCATCGGCTGATGGTGATGCGGATAAGTTCTTCTCACTATTCCGAACCCCCTTCTTCCTCCTTTTTCTCAAACTCTGACGTTGGCTCTAAATCTTTCTCAAAAGCCAACATTCGCTGCAACTAAACCCCTTTTGACTCTTGACCTTTGGCTCCCCGGATCTCTGCATTCTTCATCTTTGAACCTTTACCCTTTGAGCTTCTTTTCTTATAGACTTTCTTAAATTTATTAGTAGGACCAGCACCAATCAATCCATACTTAAAGTATGGGAACACTTTTGATACGTGAACAGGATGGAACTTGTTTGGTTCTTTTGCTTTCTTCCATGTCTTTGGAGCTAATTTGTCTCTTTCCTTGATCTCAGAGGTCCTAATTTGGCTTAAATTGACTCCAAGCCTTCCAACTAGGACTTAAAATCGAAAACTCTTCTCGAGCTTTTGGTTCACCGCTCTCTTCTTTTGTGCTCACTTCCTCGAAGTGACTACTTGCTTCCAACCTCTTAGTTTTACCTCCTTCGAGTTCCCCCACCCTCCTTTCCTCCCCTTTTGAAAGCTTTCTTCCCCCCTTACTCCCTCTTCCTTACCTTCCTTTGACCTAGCCTCCTTTCCTCCCTCGTCTCCCTAAAAACTAGTAGCTTCCTAGTTAGACAAAACCAGCCACCCCACTTGAGTTAGATCAACAGGGATCTCAACCACAAAAGAACCAAAATAAATAAACTTACCTTTTAGTTGGTTAAGAATTGTCTGTTCCCTCTCCAAACTCCCAACATTGTGTCGAACTTAGCTTCATTGCACACAAGACGTCAATGCGCCTCCTCCTCAACTTAACTCTCCTCGTTCTTCAGGCTTACACTTTTTCTTCCAGATTTGTCAAATTTAGCGATGAGCTAAACTAGGGGTGATCATTTCAGCTCAGCCCAGAAATTCCGGGCTTGGGCCTGGGTTTTGTGTTCAGGCCCGGCCCGGGCCCACATCAGGCCTGCAAATTTTAGGGCCAGGCTTGGGCTTAATACTTTAAGCCCGGCCTGGCCCACATATATTTAAACTTACACATTTTGTGTATAATGTATACATATGTATACAAGTTATTTTACGTTATATTATATATTTTATATATAAATATTATAGCGTGACATGTATAATTTATATTCTATGTAATATTTTATATTATATAATGTATAAAATAAGTTTATATGCATGTTATGTCATTTAATATAAAATATTATAGATATGTAATGTTTTATATATATGAAAGACATTGGCCCAGAATCAGGC